GGGGAGAGAGACTTAACAGTGTGTAAACATTGTAGCAAAACCATGTTTAGGATTGTTCAGTGCAGATTGGAGACCTTAATGGAAAGGGACATTTCAGATATTAAGTTGACCTTAGAAAAAACTGAGGAACATGAGATATAGTATTATTGCACATTGGATAACCAAATAATATTAAAAGTTTGTGTTTTGTTTATTATAGAAAGGACTGTGATCATCTCAATCATCTCAAGCTGTGGCAAATGCTTAGAAAAGAGGGAATCTCAGAAAATCTCACTGTCCTCTTCCAAAATTGCACCTATATATCTATAACTACAGTATGAATAGACCATGGTGAATTCGACTGGTTCCATGTTGGCAAAAGATTGAAACAACATTGTACACTCTCCCCTTATTCTATTCAGCCTATATGTTGAACATATATTAAGGGGAGCTGAATTGGAAGATGAATGCAGTTTAAAAATTGGAGGAAAAAATATCAATAACCATCACTATTTAATTTTTACTTATTTAACTTTTATCTCACCCATTTCACCTGAAGGTGATTGTAGGTGATTATGCTAATGTCACTACTCTGACAGCCAAATATACAATCTCTTGTTAATAAAAGGCAGGGTGCATACTGAAAAATATGGAACTAAAATTAAATAAAAGGAAGACCAAACTAAAGATAACAGTGGAAACAACCAGCCATCGAAGTGATAATGAAGATATCAAAATGCTAAATTGTTTCTGTCTTTTAGGATCAATTGTCATCAGTAAAAGAACAGTCAAGAAAAGCACTTGGTAGAACAGCCAGGAAGCCCGGGAAAAGATATTCAGATACAGAGCATGTTTATACCAACAAAGATGAGAATTCTGCATGCCATGATATTCCCTATTTTATAGAACCGAAAGCTGGATTTTGAAGAATCAGGACAAAGAGTATTGACACTTTTGAACTTTGGTTTTGGAGAAGACCCCTGAGAGTACAGCACACAAACTATCAATAAAACAAACCAATGGATCATCAAACAAATCAGGCCAGAGGTCTTACTCAATGCATAAACAACCAAACTAAAATTATCCTATTTCAGACATATTATGTGAAGACTCAGCTCTCTGAAGAAGGCTGTAACGCTAGGAAAAATGGAAAGAGAAAAGAATGACTATCAGCAAGATGGATGTACTCAGTTAGTGTCAATAGGTGCACCACAGGAAGACTTAAAATACTGAAGCAGTCCCCATTTTTTTTGGCTCCATGGCAGCAGCAATGGCGAGGGGGAGTTTTGGACATGCAACCTAGTTCCCATGCATGCCAAGCTGCTTGCATAACCTGGTTTCCAACAGGCTGCGGACCAGCACCAGGCTGGCCAATGGTTGGGGACCCCTGACTTAAAAAATTATCAGATTAGGGACAGATCATGATGGAGAATATCTATGTGATTGTTATGAGTTGATGCCAATGTGATGGCTCATAGTCAATCAAAAACAACATATTTATTTCATCAGGATACTCAGAATATTTTCAGCTTAGTTTAGGGTAGAGTTATTGAATTGAGCAATAAAAAATAGGCTTTTGGTATACTCCATTGTATTTTCTACATTCTTATAGGTATTTCCATTGTCCTCCTTTCTTTTTCTTTCTTTTCTCTTTCTTTCTTTCTCTCTCTCTCCCCCTCTCCGTTCCCTTTTCTTTCCTACATTCCTAAAGATACCTTATTTTAAACCAGTATATGATGTTTACATTGTCCAGTCCACTCCCTTAAGATTTCCGGCTCTTCTTGAAAAGTCACTCACTGCATAATAGTATAACTATTCTTGCTTTGTCATTAGGTTTTTTTTGATAAATTAATGTGCATGCAAACTGGGCTAGAATGGCTTGATTATCTTGCTTCTTTTTTACTTGGCAAATGAGACTATAATTTATTAAAGCATAAATGTAAGCTAGATGTAATTTATGCCTTAATTCTTTCCATAAAGTTGTTTTCTGTGCAGTTTTTATAAGGCAGATTTTTCTAGAGAACTCTTCCAAAACCTGATGCCTGCATGAAAACGTGGAACAAAACCATGCAACAATCAATCAATCAATCAATCTGCTCCAAGACTTTTGGCACTAATAATAAAATCAATACAATAAAATTATTAAAATGTTCATTTTAAAATACCACAAAAGAACAAGAGTGATGTAATATAGCTGTTTAACAGATGACAAAGCTCTGGTAACATCTCTAAATGCTCTATATGAGCTCCATTTTAACTTGAAAGGCAGGGAGGCTATACCAGAACACTGGGGCCAAAATGGGCTTCCTGGCCTCTTCCCTTCTACTCCCCTCCACCCTTGCAAATGGAGCACCAAGGTGATTGAGATCCAGTTGTATTTTAAGATTTTCCTCTAAAGAACTCAAAAACTAGTGCTAGGAGAAAATTATAATTAGCATCTAATATTCAATGTAAAAAGTTGGAGGAACCAGAATTTGTACTGAGATTTACCATAAAATCCCAGAATATAAGGATGTCCTTGGGGAGGAACGAAGTTCATTATAATTGCTTCGGTAATCCAATTCTTCTAACATATTTCCCAGGGAAAATGACACTGCATGAAATTGGTTTAAGGAAGCCACTCTTCTTAATATACATATAATTAGGCTGACTTTAAAAAGATGCTTCTGTTTACACTGTCGCTACGTGATTGTAGGTATATTTATTAACATACCAATCTCTAAGTGAAATCTAGTTTCCAAATCTTAAAATGGTCTGATCCATGTCATGCTATGTTGATACTTTGCAGAAAATTAATACAGAACTCCTAAAACACCAAATAAATGAATTATCCACCATTTTTAAAGTTTTTCTTTCTGCCAACTATCTACAGTGCATTAAATAGATCTTAGCTATGCAGGACATACAAATATAACTTCCCCTCCTATCAATAAAATTTTATTCTGATATAATCATTAAAGGAGTAGAAATAATTTAAGGTTCACCATCTTGTGTTTCTTATACCAAACCCCATGGAGTGGGGGGTAAAACAGGATAAAGGAACATTTTAGAAAGATGGAAGTATTTGTAATCTGTTGCCCCTTTGAAAAGCTTTTTGATTGGGAAGGCCATTAAATTGCATTTAGTGGTTATAATTACATCACCTCTTTCATCCAGGAGTTCAAGTAGTTAAATCCTAGATAGTCAGATTCTAAGGTTCCAATTTTACATTTTAATAATAATTTAATATGTGATGGCTGATCACTTCAGTAATTTCTGGCGAAAACAATTAAAAACATAAACCAACAGTTCAATTCAAAAACAACCAAAACTATGAAAACACAAGCAATTAACCTAAAGTCTGGGAACAGAGTCAGGTCTTAAGTGTTTTCCCAAATTGCAGAATGGCAGTGTCCATATCTCTGAGCGGATTATTTTCCAGAGGTAGGGGACAGTGACTTAAAAAGCATGCTTCAACGGTCCCACAAGATGTTTAATTGAGGAGACCCAGAGTACACCCACTCAGCCCAAACATAATGGGTGAGCAGGAACATTTGGAGATGAGGGAATCCCTCGGATACCCAGGCTTGAATGGCACCTGGAAGCCTACTGGCAACCAACACAAATTGGGACTCATGAGCATAATGAAAAGTGCCCATTATTGCTCAGGTTGCAGCATTTTGAAGCAGTTGAGGCTTCCACAAGGTCTTCAAGGGCAGCCTCATATAGAGCACATTGCCATAATTTAATTATAAGGTGGTCAGGGCATGTATGACCATCCAGGGTCTAGTTGAGGAAAGGCTGCATTTCATTATATTAACATATTATTTCTAAAATTGTACTTCTTAAAAAGGCCTATATTTGATAACTATTTTTTTTTATCAAAAAGAAGAAAATCCTAATTTAACATTCTAATCCCATCCATGTATCAGCAATGGCTGTGTAGACCATTATGTCGAAGTATAGAAAGTATTTTATACCCACAACCCGCCATGCAACACAAAGAATTATTCTGTCCTGGAATAAATTGTCAAGAAAGCAACATCCAAATAATTTATTTGATTTCTGAATCTGTATATACTGAACAGTGCAATACATAAACATGAGATAATACACTTCTTCAAAAAATAGCAAGTTCCAATCACATGGTAGCTTGTTCTCAAGTTTAACATACAACAGAATATGTACCAACTACAGGTGTAGTGCCCAGAGAAAGCTTAATTATAAAAGCTGATTACAATGGTTTGTCAATCATATTGGAATAGTTAATTTCAAACTGCTCAAAACAAAATTGTTTTGTGATTGCTGGCAAAGATATCAGAAAGCTATCAGGCGGCTATTTAGAGCAACAGAACATCTAAAGCAATACAATCAAAATCATGATGTATTTGAGTAGAATTACATGTGTTTCTTACTCTAAATACTATGGCACTACACAAAAACCTTTATATTAAAAAAAACACCCTCTGATCTGGTCCAATGCAGAACTGCAGAATAGACTGTTAAATCTTTGCAATGGAAAATATGTGCTGTAATTACTTGCATGTTAAGTAGAAAATGAATATTCTTAAATGCGCAAACCAAATTTACAATGTTTCATTTTGGTTTATCATATTTACTTTTTCATATTTATTCATGCAAAAAGCAGATTTATAGTTATACCAAGTAACTTAATATAGATCAGCAAAGCACACTTAAATTTGAGAGCTAGAGATTATTTGTAAATAGAAAAATGGAAAATTATGCTCTTAGTACAATATCTACTGTAATTTTATTACACATTCTCTTTAAAACCTGCAGCTTTTACAAGGTGCAAGAGTCATGGGAACTGTAAGAATGTCCCTGTGTACTAGAAGCCTACATGTTGAAGTTTAGAATAACACAGCATTGCAGTTATGTGTAAAATATGAGCAAAGGGTTAATAGAAAATCTTAAAGTTAAAATACCCCCCCAAAAAACAGGATGTATGTGATGCAAACTAGAATAGCATAAAGGAAACAGTTCCGAGCTGTTTTTACAGTTTTCCATTCTTTTTAAACCACTAAACCACTCTCTATGTGATTCCAGAAAGTTCCCCCAAATGATTGCTAGACTCCTTCAGAACTACATGGGAATAAAGGACTTTCTCCTCTTCCACTAGTTAGAATTTACTGAAAAGATTTTTTTTCCATACAAGGTACTACCTGCAGTCACTAGTAACCAATATTAAGAATGTTTCTGAAGCATAAACAGCATAAAAACTAAATCCAAATATAAACTTTCTTTCTGCTACAATTTTCAACATCAAATGTAATGCTGTTCCCCAAACACTGAAGCTTATTTTATGGAATCCAGGGAAGTAAAGAGAGAGGAGAATCAGCAGTAATCATCTTTCTCTTCCTTTCACAAAGGTATCTTCTGTGAAGAGTTTTCTGTGAGCTGAGGGACAAGTAGATACACAGCCAATTATTTATTTGTTCCCTAAAAAATACATGTCTAATCTGCCATCTCATTTCAGAGTACTCAAATAAGCAATAGCTTCCACATGGAAGTGGAAGAAGGGGAAAAGAGACTGGAAGAAAAACACTTGTATTACTGTCTTGAAAGTTATATTAATGGGGAATCCAAACCATGTGGAAACTACGTGTGCAGGGTGTGGGATCAAAATCATGTAAGTAGAATGAAAACTTCTAATTCAAGTGTAAATATCTTAATCCGATATGGTAGACAATTTACTAAGGACCCAAACTAGAACAGTACAAAAAGATAGAAGTAATCATTTTAAGCAATGAGAAAAAGGACAACATGAAGTTGCTGATGATGAAGTTAACAAAATGCTTATTAGTCCATTTTGGACTCTTATTAACTGTTCATTGACACAGATTCACCAAAATATTAGAATAACAAAAATACATCAAGCTTTAAAAACACTTTTTGTGCAACAAGATCAAAATTAATTTTAAAGTAAATTGAGCTACTACTCTTTTTTACATCTTACAGAAATGAAACACACGAAGAGATCAGAGAATTGAGCCAATGAGACTAGGCCAAGGACAAAACTAAGCAAAATGGAGGTTGCCGTCATCAAGGTTTTAGGCGTTTGCTAATATCACAGTAGAGACTTACAAATATGATAGCTTTTTTAAAGCTGTAACTGATGTAATCCATACTACAGAAAAAACTTCACTGAAAAACACCATGAAGTAAACTACAGCAGTCATAAGCTACAAGGTGCTACAAATTCAAAGGTCATTTAAAAGGCACTTGTTTCTGAAGAATAAGCCTTATGCCTTTTAATTCTATACTAAAACTTTATTCATAGACATCAGTGTAATATCTCAGCATGCATTAATCATGTATTGTAGAAATAATATTCTACAAGCCAATAATTTTGATTATTATATGGAGATTGGATTAGAAACATGTTATTCTACATATTAATCGACTGCAGATTTCTGGATGATACTAACAATGCATTCTAAAAATATAATTGCTGTTGATTTCTCCTATTCCGAATAGCAACAGGGAAAAATTATTGCTAAACTGACTTAGGTTTAATGTATTCAAAAATATTATCAGATACTGTTAATGAATTATGAGACTTCAGTGAAAACAAAAAGGTAATAGAGGACAAAATGTTAAAAAAACTAAAGCAACTTTTTCTTGTATACTTAGGAATAGTACATATAACCTATTCAGGATAGTTAAAGTAATATATAACAATGCTTTTATTTTTTAAATTCTGTTTTCTGAAATGTTTAGTCATTTTGATGGATTGAAAGATTTAAAAAGTTAAAAGAAATATCTGCTGCCTTCATAAATCATGAACAGCCATTTGGAAAATAAAACAGTTTTAAACAACACTCTTAAGCTATAATAGCAGCACATGAAATCTTAGAAAAAGTAACATTTTTGTGTCAAGCTTAGTCTGGAGAAAGAATTGATGAATCAATCTAAAAAATGCAAAGGAATGTTTGACAAGTTGCCCAATATCTACCAAATCATCACAAAATTAAAGGAAAATATCTACACAGCTATTAAGATCCCAAATTCAGAATCATTGATTACTGAAAAGTTCACCATAATTCAGAAAATATATATTCAACTTATGCTGTGCATTCTATCTTTAAAGTACCATTTCTATATTCTGGTGTTCTTCTAGTTTAAAAAGGTAAAGGTTCCCCTTGCACAAATGTACTAGTCCTTCCCGACTCTAGGGGGCAGTGCTCATCTCCGTTTCAAAGCTGAAGAGCCAGAGCTGTCTGAAGACATCTCCGTGGTCATGTGGCTGTCATGACTAAACGCCAAAGGCGCACGGAACGCTGTTACATAATGAGAATTCCAGAATGTGCAAGGTGATCGACTGTAACTCTGTTAATTCTGAAATAATCCTATGGAAATCAGAAGAAAGTATGCAATTACGATTTATATCTATATTTCAGATATTTAAAAAAATCTCAGATGAAAGATCAGCAAGATTAAATCAAACACACAAAACAGCCATGAGTAATTTGCATTTAATCCTTTGGATTGCGACTGGATTGAACCAGACAACTGCAAACATCTAAACTGGTTTAAGGCTGACTGACATTTGCACTGGATTTTCTCATTAATTTTGCTTTGATTTTACAAGACTGTATTTTGTCTTGGTGTAGAATTTTATATAGAAAGCTTTAGGCAACAGCTGGAGATGCAGTTTTGGGAGTCTTCTTCACAAATCATGCAAACAACAGAAAACAGGCTATGACAAAAATTGTAACATAATTGGACTGCCTTCACTGCCTGATTGCACGAGCAGGAAAAAGTTGCTGCTTAACCCAGTCCAACTTTTACTCAACCTCAAACAGATGAGCAAATGATGGAACTGTTAGTCTTATAGTAACAGGGAGACTGGCTGTTATAAAGTGCAAGAGAGAAACCAACATCTAGCACACAAGACCAATATTATTTTAGTACTCCCATTCATCAGTTTTCATGTCCAAATAGTAAAGAATGTTCTGTGCAAGCTTCACTGCCTGTTTCCTGGATACTTTTGAACGCTCATCTCGAGGATCTATAGCATCAAGTGCTAGAAGCTGTTTGGTGAGGAGCTCCTCTAGCCGCATGTAGTTCTTATCAGTTCTGTTCCCATCAAAAGACAACACCTCTTGCTGAATCTGAGCTACGTTTCCAAGAATATTCCAAATTGCTTTTTGTGATGAGACGTCTGTTTCTGTTTCTGTTTGCTCTACAAAGGCTTGTTGCTTAAGAAGTGCTTCCTTTAAGTCAGTATAAGTTATGAGGGTTTGCACTTCTATCACGGCTCGCCTCCTGGCTTCTCGGATGCAGGGATTATTGCCTGGACTTATTTCATCCAACTGGGCGATTAACCCCTGCAACTCTGTCTTTGACTTTAGATACAAATCTGAAGCTTTCTCTATTTTTAAAAGGGAACCTTTAACTTCTTTCATGTTATTGCGTATTTCTTCTATTTTTATAATGGATCCGTTTTGTGCCAAGTCATAAGCATAAGTGGAATCTGCTTCTTCTTCCAGATCCAGATATTTTTGCAATCTATTGATCTCTTCCACTACTTCTTTACGATAGTTTCTTATTTCTGGGTGACCACATACATCCAAGGCATCCAGATCAGCAATCAGACCTGTGAGTACACAGGATAAATGTCTACAGGTCTCATTGTTGTTTACTCCCATTAATACAGCAATAAGAGTCCCTTTTGCTTTGTTCACATCTCCTATGACAGAATTAATTTTGGAAACAGAAGGATGTGCATCACTAGACAATGGCAGGGAAGGCTGCTGCTTTGTACAATGACTTATAATTTCTTGAACAGCACATATTTTGGTCAGGGTGCGATATCTGGCTTTCCGCAGAGAAATTTTCCCTCCAGTTTTTACCTGAGTGAGTCTAAAAATTATATCCTGTAAACCTTCTTCAAATTCCTCAGTTACACAGTTGCCTCCTTTATAAAAGGCAGTGATTTCCTGCTCCACCAATGCCTGTGCCTCGTTAAATATGGATTCTATCTCCAGCCTTTGGGGATGGTTTGCATTCTGCTCTAGTTCCTTAAGCAGTTTCTCAGTTTCTTGGGCAGCCCTCTTTCTGGCTTGCTGAACATCACCTCTTCCTTCAGCATCCACAGAATCTATTTCAAAAAGCTGTTTAGTCAAAGTCCTTTCTAATTTCTTGTAAGCTCTATCACTGGACAAACCACTGAAGGCTACGACTTGACATTCAAAGTCTTTGACTTCTTTTTGTATTTCTTGCAGCCTTTTGATAGATGGATGTTGGTTACCCATATCCATTCTTTTTCTTCATCCAGTTTCAACAGAACTAAAAACAATGGAAAACACAATAAAATGTAACAGATTGTTTGAAAATATTCTAAGAACATGTATGTGCAGTTGGAAGTACTCAATAAATATTCCACTATTGTTTTATTTGAGAGACAATACAGTACAACACATCAGTTTGACGATATCATAGCTGTAATATTGAAAGATTCTGCCAGTTGCTTTAAATCTGATGCATATTATGAACTTACATCTCTAATTAAATTGGTCTACCCCTTGCCAAAAGTAAAAAGTATAAACTAAAATGTTCCAAGCAGAGTGGTTTCTTTCCCCAATCTCTTTTAAATACCACAAGCAAGTCATAACAAGTGCTGATGTATTGAAGAAAAAAACAGTACCAACTGCCTCCCCACACAATATTCTTCTAGTAATCAAAAGCAGATAAAATAGGGACAAAAACAGATATATCTCTTGTTACCCTTCTTTGGTCATCCCAGGGAAATACGGGAGTTATATTTTTGCCTTTTCCTCGTTTCTCCAGAAATAAAGACAGTCCTCCTCGTCATTTCAAACTGTACTAGCCAGGGTGACAATACTTTTGAGTCCGGTCCATCGATTCCACTCAAAACACACTGCGGCCATCTCTACCAGCTACCGCTTGGCACAGAGCGAAGCTGCAACTCATTCAAGCCCCGATACTTATTGCACCCCAACCCTCCCGGGTCCGCCCTATTCTTACCCAGTGAGAAGCTCTTCGGGGGAAGCGAGTCCCCGTGCACAGAGCTTGATCCCCCGGCCCCTGTCTCAATCCTACATTCCTGCAGGAAGGTAGCCAGGAATCAGCCCCGAGCTCGGGCCGCTTCCCCCAGGTAGAGCGCGCCGACAACCTCCCCGCCGTCCTCTCTCTCTGACCCCCCCCCTCGCCGCCCCACGCTCCCCCCCCCACCAGTGACTTCACAATGCTGCACAATCTTAATTCCGCTTTGGCCACCGGGGCGCTTCTCCGGGAACGTCTGAAGGAGAGGAGGGGAGGCCGCTGGGGCGGGGGGGGGGAGGAGGAAGGGGAGGCGGAGAAAGCAAACGGGTTCGAGTTCTGGAGGAGACGAGGACAGGGGGTTTCCCCCTCCCCGCCCCCTTCGCAAACACCCTTGATCAACCTGGAGCTATTTACCGGGGGAAGACCCATCTGCGCCGTCACAATCTCCGCATAGGTTTTCACCACCACCCCAATCCCCGACACGGGTCTCCATTCGCCCCCCCCCTCCCCCCCCCCCCCCCCGACGCGGCTCTTCCCATCTGCTTCCTAAATCTCGCCCTCTCCCCTCCCCCTGCCGGGACTCCGCCGCCGCCAGCTGCGCTACGCTACGCTTAAAAATAGTCGCCCCCGCCCCCTGCACGCCGCTGCTTCAACGCTTGCCAAGTAGTGAGGGCTCGTCGCCTGATCTGACGCAGAGCGGGTCTCCCGAGAAGCTCTCCCGCTGCACTAAAAAAGGGGGGCTTGGACTCAACACGAGGCGAACAGCCGCTTGGCCTACCCGCCTTGGGAGACCCCCCCCTCCCTCCAACCCCCCCCCCCCACAGGTGACCCTTGCCTAATCCAGATTCGTCCCTCCATGGGCCCCGATAAACGAGGACTTCTCTGCACCTTTTCTTTCTCTACGGCCCACCTTGACAGCAGGAAGGGGTGGGGGAAGAAGGCAGGCAGGCATAGGGGAGGACGCCACAGGACCGACTGGAAAGGGCGGCAATTGGGGTCGTTTAGACTAGAGCAGGTTTCAGGTCACCCCTATTGGCCGCGGGGTTTTGCCGAGCCTTCAAGCCCCCGGCTTGTTTGATTCGGCCCCTGGCTCGCCAACTTCGTCGGAATGCCAGTCTTCACAATCGCCCACCAAGCAATCTTACCAGGCCTGCCTGCCTTTGCTTTCCTCTTCACCCTCGGTTTGAGAAGCCTTGTACCCGCTTCCACGCTCCCAATTAAACAGCAGCCGCCCGGGCATATTCACTATAACTCGCCCAGCTCCTTCGCCCCGTCGGCAAGCACCAGCCTCCCTTCCCTCCTTATGCCGCAAGTCTTCTCCCCTTCACCTTCCACTCCATACTCTTTCCCCCCTCCCGCGAGTCAGGTAATTCCACTAACGTCGCTCCGCTCTTCTAGCTCCCTTCCTTCGAACCGACGTTGCGGGCTTTCCATTCTCTCCTTCCCGCTTTCCAATCCCCACGTTATCGTCCTTCGGAAGCGCACTGCAGGATGGGAGTTCTCCGTAGCACCTTCGGCGCCACGTCCCTCCCCCTCTCCGCTCTCTTTCTCACCTCAAGTATGGCTCGAAAATGATCCAGGCTGGTCGCAACACTCCCGCCGCCAGGCCAGCTCGCGCGCTCTCCCGGCGCTCGATAACGCCGGCGCCATTTGAGGCAACGAGGAGAGCGCGCGAGAACTGACAGGGAAATCTCCCTCCGCCCCTCCCCTTTCACGACGTTGCCGTAAAGTGACGGGCGCGTTCAGTTCTTGCGGCTGTCGCCTCGGTATGTCCGGGATGGCGGCACTCTTGAGGAGACGAGGGTTTCTATACAGCCTAGGCGGTTGCCCGTACTTAGTCTCGACCTGCTTCGGCTGCAGGTTTTTGTCGTCCTCAGTCTCCGGGGAGCCTACGCAGGGCGAAGATCCGGAGAGGAAGAGCGCGCCCTCGCCTCCCAAGACAAAGGTAACGCGGAGGAAATAAGGGGCTAAGGTACCCAAGTGCCCTGTCAAAGTTTCGTAATTCCGTTTGTCTGGTTCCCAGCCAGCGTGACTTGAGTGCGGGAGGGCACCGGGTAACCATCTGCTGTCATAGAGTCGGTAGCTTGGTTCACATAGCCCAAGTTTTAACGATAATCTGGTTGCATTTGCGTGTTTTGTAAATCCAGCCAATTGTGATTTACTCATCAAGTCTTGGTAAGCAAATCAGAGAAATGAAGGAAGCTGCTTGGAGTTAGTGAAATGATGGTCTCTTATCCTGGACAAGGCACTGTGCATAACTTGTGGGTTAAAAAGGTATAATATGTCCCCTTTTCGGTTTTCTTTCTGTGACAGAAAAAGATCAGGTTGCCTCTCTTGTTGATGCGAGATTGTTTTTTCATTACACAAAAATGTTTTCTTCTGTTCAATGCACTTTTAACCACTTCGGCTGTCTTTAGTAATCTGTGCTCTGCTAACTGCCTAGATTACCATTTTGCACTGTGTGTAAAGCTGATTTTGAAAACAGTTTGGAAACGGTGATACCAAGTGAACTGTCTGGGATTAAATATTCACTTCATGGTCTGCATGACTTCAATTTAAGAAACTGATTTTAACTCCTGAATCTCTTCATATTTTGGAACTGCCTAAAGAAGAGTAGATATTTAGACTATCCTTCCCCACACTTTGCAAGAAATATATGGAGAACAACTACCCACTGTGGCATCAGTGGGATAGTGGTTATGCCATCGTAATCTAAGTTCTGCCTTCCTTTCTATATGTGTTTATAAAGGGATGGGGCTTGGATCATCACATTAAGTACAATGTCCTCCCTTCTGATACCCTTCTCCACCAGTGCCACTATCTCATCTGTAATGGTCCCTAGATCTGGAATGAGGGAAGCCTACTTTGTTAGCTTTTGAAGCTTTAACACAATCTCCAAAAACTAGAAATAAGAGTAACTGTATTGCTGTTCCATTTATCGCCAATAATATTTTGGGTTTTTTTGCCATGTTAGATTATAGTTAGATTAGTCTCAATTTTAAATTACAATTTCAGAATACTGTATTACAGTATCCAGAAAAAATATTTTGAAGGGCAGCTTGTAAAATGATTTTAATATCCCCACAATTCTTTGTTAAAATTACAAACAATTGCTTTAGTTTATCTGTCCTC